CTATCAGCATATTTCACTTACACTGAAATCTAAGTAGATTAACTGCATTCTTTGTAAACACACATTTTATTTATTTATTTATTTATTTATTTATTTATTTATTTATTAATGTTTATTATTTTTGAGAGAGAGAGACAGCACAAGCAGGGGAGGGGCAGAGACAGAAGGAGACAGAATAGGAAGCAGGCTCCAGGCTCAACGATGTGGGGCTCAAAGTCACAGACCACGAGATCATGACCTGAGCTCACTGACTGAGCCACCCAGGTGCCCCTACACACATTGAAAAATAAACATAAATCTGGGGTGCCTGGTTGGCTCAAGTCGGTTGAGCATCCGACTTCGGCTCAGGTCATGATCCCATGGTTTGTGGGTTCCAGCCCCATGATGGGCTCTGCCCTGACAGTGAGGAGCCTACTTTAGATTCTCTGTCTCCTCTCTCTCTTCCCCTCCCCTTCCCTCTCTCTCACTCTCTCAAAAATAACCATTAAAAAAAATTTTAAGGGACACCTGGGTAGCTCAGTCGGTTAAGCAGCTGACTTCGGCTCAGGTCATGATTCGTGAGTTCGAGCCCTGCGTTGGGGCTCTGTGCTGACAGCTCAGAGCCTGGAGCGTGCTTGGGATTCTGTGTCCCCCTCTCTCTGCCCCTCCCCTTCTCATGCTGTCTCTCTTTCTCTTCCAAAAATAAATAAACATTAAAAAAAATTTTTTTTTAATTTTTTTAAATAAACTCAACTCTGAATATGGACTGGACATTAGTTGTTATTTACTGCTAATTTTCTTAGGGTAATAATACCACTCATTACGTAGGAGAATGATACTTTTGGGAGATATACGCTGATATATTTAGGTATAAATTACTGTCTGATAACTTACTGAATAGTTCGGCAATAGATAAAGCCTTGCAGCAGGTATCTCAAACACACACAGCTAAAGCAAATACAGCCAAATGTTAACAATGGTTGAATGGGGGGGGGGGGTGATAACTATAGGTACTTTCAACCTCTGAATAACATAATGTTGAAAAAATAGTTAAATAAGTACCACATAATAAAAGTAAAGCTTTCCATACCCCAAAGTCACTAGGTCGGTGTCCTCTGGGATGACTTCTGGGTCCTCACCCGCCTCAAGGCACTTTAATTTATCAAGGCTAAAACAGAAACAAAAAGGAAAAGCAATCACCCATCTTGTCCATAGAGAGTCAGGTTTGTGTCCTACAAATATCATTAAATAACTAAGTCAGATCAAATCCGGCAGGCGGCTCAGAGGAAGTCAGAATTCAAGACAATGATTTCTGTGCCGATATTCTATAAAGAAAGGATACGTGGCCGATTGACATATGGCGGCTAATGCTATTACATGGAGAAAGAGATTGTTTATATTTTCACCCCATTGAAGCCACTTTTGGGGGGGAAATTTTCGTAATAGCATACCCGGAAGGTCCCCAAAAGGGACCACAGTGAATCAAGGTCTTAACGCTCATCTGGTTAACGCTCCTCTCCTTCCAGCCCCATCATTGCTAAAGCTCCTCCATTGTCAAAGTGTCTTGTCAATGGCAGGTACACATCCCGTTACTCTGACCGCTTTCCTATATTAACAAGGACTTAAAAAAAATCACGGGGGGAAGGGGGGGAATTAATCTTTCATGCAGCTCTCCCGTCCCTTCACTCCAACTCGCAGAAATTGTGCATTCCGATCACGGGACATCTCCCAGGGTTCCAGGAAAGCTCTAGCAGGTTTAAAGCTTTCAAAGGGCGGCCCTTCTACCCCGGGGAGTAAATCACAGGCCCTCCCAAGGTGGGTCCCAGGGAAGCGCAGTAGCAAGGCTGCAATCAGGTTGGCCCCAAGCAACAAGAGCCCCTCGGCCGCGCACTCACCCGCACACGGTCCGCAGCTCTGCTGCCGCCTCCAAGCTGCAGCCCAGATCCCGGGCCACCGCAGCATCCTCCTGGCCCCACTCGGCGACCCCTTGGCTCCCTGGCAGCGCGGATGCTTGCGGCTCCTTCAGCGACAAGTCCCCTTCTCCGCGCAACCGGCCACGCCACAGCTCCCCGAAAGCGCCCACATAGAATGCACGCGTATTTAGCTCGGGAAGCTCGTACTCTGGAAAGTTGCAGCTCCCACTGCTGGAGACGGGGTCCTGCCTGCTACCCATCCCGTGGCACGTTGGGCCGATCCGGGTGCCTTCAGCCATGTTCACCCACTCCTTTCCCTGCAAAAGCCGGGCGATCAAGACTACGCGGAGCGTAATGGGACTTGTAGTTGCACGGGGCTCGGTCCGAGGGGCTGCGGGGCTGCGTAGGCTCAGCTTCAGACACTACATTTCCCAGCAGGCCCCGGGCCGGGCACGCCCCCGGGCGCGGCACCGCGAGCTTCCGCGCTCAGGGCTGAGCGCATTGTTCTCCGCTCGCGGATTCACGCGCAGCTGTTGGTTGGGTTCTCAGTGCGGGGTCACCTGTGTTGTTGCATTCCCGTCCCCCACGGTTACGTGGCGTCGCTTTCTGCTAGGTAGGGCGGCCTCTGTACGCCCTTTGATCCCAGATCATTGCAGTATTTGGCTCCGAGATGCGAGACTTTTCCTTGACTCCGGGGTTCGTGCGCTGCGCTGTTGCCTCACTGTCCCAGAGCTTGAGAGACCTGGGGGGCGAGGGATGAGACCACTGACTCTACCGGACCTCCAGGTTCTGGTCGTTAAAAATCTCCCCAGCGGCCCCATGTTCTTGAGTATAAACGTATGCATCGCTCTACGCACGCACGATAGTGTTTATTGAGCGTCAACTATGTATCAGATACTGTATACATTATTAACTCTAATGTATATTTTTGAAAATCACAACCCTCTCAGGAAGGGATTATCGGCCCCATCGTAACTGTTGAGGAAGGAGTTAACTGTTAGGAAATAGAAGCAGGAATGGAATTGTCTAGCTTCAGATGGAACTTTTCTCCCTCGCTCAGAAGCCCCAAAGGACTCAGCAGGACATATAGAAGGAGCTCTGGATGGTTATTTATTGGTATATATCATATACCAGTATGATATACCATATATTCACACACCATATAATTAACCCATTTTGAATGTTCATCCAGTGGTTTTTAGGCTATTTACAGAGTTGTGCAACCATCACCATAATCAATTTGAGGATAAACTAACCGCTCCGGAAAGAAACCCTGCACCTTTGAGCTATCACCCACAATCCTCTTAACTCCTCCAGCCCTACCCAGTCACCAATCTTTGTCTCTATAGATTCACAGATTCTGGGCATTTAGTATAAATGGCACGTTTATGTGGTCTTTTGTGATTAGCTTTTTTCACTCAGCATAATATTTTCTGGGCTTATCCATCCATATTGTAGCATGTATCTATTTCTTTTTATGGCTGAATAATATTGCATTGCGTGGTAAAGCACATTCTGTTTATCCCAGCAAAAAGTTGTTTCTGGGCACCTGGGTGGCTCAGTTGGTTAAGCAACCGACTTTGGCTCAGGTCATGATCTCACTGCTCATGAGTTCAAGCTCCACATGGGGCTCTCTTCAGCACAGGGCCTGCTTAGGATCCTGCCTCCCTCTC